TATTCATGAAAACAATTCTTGACCTTGGCTTTTTCTCAAGATGAGACGACTCTTACGGTTTGTTTTTGGGTTTGGTGAAACTGTAACCAAAGTCTTATGCAAAAGAACATTGGCTCACAATATGAAGTAGGATCAAACTGCAAAACTAAAAAATATGGGACAAACTAGAAAATGCAGGAAGAAACCTTTGACTATTAATCTTATTAACACTTCAAAAAGTTTTCCAGGCAAAAAATTATAATCAATACCCAACAGTTTCTATGTATTTACAACCAAAACAAATCTCAGGCTCTTCTTCAGCTTTCCATTAACAATATGATCATCGTCATCATCAAGATTGCCTTTGTAAACTCACATATCGGAATCTGATCCACCAGAATCACTTTTCGATCTATCCGACATGAAATTCGGTGGCAAAACCGGAAACTTCACTGCATTCCTCTGCTGAGCACTCACCAATGTCCTCCTCTGCAGATTCCGCGCAATCTCTACGCATACTTTATCAACCATTGCGAGAAAATCCTTAACGATAACAAACAAATGAAGCGGATTCTTTCCCTTCACACCTCCTGCTTGGTAATACTCTGTTGTTCTGTTCACAAGCTCCATCACTTTCTTCTCTTCCTCTCTCGCTAACTTCACTTCTTCGTCAACCGAATCAAGAAACTCACTCATCTTCTTCACAAACTTCTCTCCTTCTTTGTTTTCTCCTCCACATTGTGCTAACACGCGTCTAGCAGCTTTAGCTCTAGACGAAAGAGCCAAGCACGTTGCGGAAACCGTGTCATAGTCTATATCTGCAGCTTTCTTAACATTAGAGAACTCAGCGCTTAACCCTCCAACAACAGGTAAACCGAGTCTTAGATACTCCTTCTCTTGTTCTTCCTTCGATATAACCTCAGAGATCGAATTGCTACTGCTTCGGCTTAAGCTCCTTCGGTTAACCACGCACCGCTTACCCTCGGATCTAACCACTTCTTCCACCACAAAGTTAAGCAGAGTGGTTCTCCCGTCGACGCTCTTCACATCGGAGAGCTTCAAAAGCGCGGTGAGATTGAAAGCTTGAGCGTCTCCTCTCGCTGTTCCTGCATTCATTCTGTTTCCAGATTTCAGTATAGCTTCTAAAAGCTTAACGAACAAGCCTCTTGATCTTAGCTCATTGCAAGCTAAATCTAACGTCTTGAGAGATTTATTATGGTTAGAGATCTCTGGAGAGTAATTAGCTCTGAAGAGTAACGCGTTGAGACGAGTGAACGCACAAGGCACAGCCTTTAGAAGATCAAACAGGAACGATTCAGCGTCGGCGAGTTTTGTAATGTCGCCGTCGAACTGGAGAATTGCTGATTGTTCTTCTTTCGTCGGAGCTATTCTGGATAGTCTCTCGAGCGTGTCTGGATGGAAATCATTGCCTTCCATTAACGATTCCACGAGCTCCTCGCGAGTCATTCCTAGGGATTTGAGCACGATTGCTGTGTTCTGGGATTTTCTCGGGTCGAGTATGAAGATCTGTGTCGGAGTGTTGGAACTGGGTTTCTTTTCGCCGCCGTGTTCCGGAGATTTCTTTCCGACCGCCACGTAGCCGAAGAGTGCCTCCATTAGATCGCCATCGAAACTGAGGAAAGAAATCAAAATTGGGATTTTTTAGTTTACCGACTAAAACCCTAAAATTGGAAAGAAATGGATCTAGAGATGTATATGTACCTGAATGATCCACGATCGATTTTGTCCCAAACCATGGAATTATCAGAATCTGGATTTACTTTATCCCAATGAAGAGGCTTAAGCTTCACCTGACCATTAGATCCTTCCCCTAAAGATGATCCTCTCGGAGCCGGTGGTGGTTTTGAAACTGACGACGACAGATTCGCTGTCTTCTTCAACGGCGGAGGCGGCGGTGGAGAAGGACCGTTCTTAGCCGAAACAGGTCT